AGAGATACATTTGGAGATGATCAAACTTCAGTCATTCTGTGGACAAAGTTGTTTACGGGAAAAAAAGCCGTACCCGATTGTAATACCCTTGCTTATCGCAAGGGTAAAAAAACATGAAAGGACATAAAAAGTTATGAAACAAAATTACCTGTACCTTTGGAAACTTTGAAGACCTTTCAAACCGCTTAAAATAAACCGATCCTTTCTGCAAGACCTAAGCCGACAAAGATAGCAGACATGAAAGTCTTAAAATTTTCAGTTTTCGCAAAAAAAAAACAGGTCCCGACTGAAAACGAACTTCTTCGATTTGTTGTCTCAAGCATGTGTGTTACCTCTACTCCAAATTCACAGAATACTCCGTAAATATACAAAGAACACAAACTCCATAAGTTTTTAATAAAAACAGCCTGAAAAAAAATCAAATAGCAAAATTAGGCAAAACTTCTTGGAACTGCTTGCCCAAAACTAGAATACAATGAATTGTTTTTAAATTTGAGTAAAAATTTCCAATTTTTAAGCAAATTGGGTGCTGCGGCATTTAAGCCGATATAAAAAGCAGACAAACATAACCAGACACACGCGCGGAAAATTTTTTGCTCATAAAAAACTACTGGTCGGATTCGAACCATTGACGTTTGTCTATGAAGGCAAGAGCGTTAACTCTTTGCCATAAGCACGAATTAACTTAAGGTAAAATGATTCAAGTGAATCTGTTACTCTAGGTGTTACCCCGAAAAAAGCCTATATTCTGGTTTGATTGATAACGCTTGCTTAACGCAACCGTACAGAAAATTATGATGCCCTTACCGCTCTTTAAACTTCTAGAACAAAACATGATAATTAATTTGAGAAAACTGGATCAATAACAAATAATTCCATTTCACTGAGAAACCTGAAAAGTTAATTCCACGTTCGAAACCAAAAGTCAATCACGTTTTTCGTGACCTTCAAATTTTGCCGTTCGATAGTGGAGTTCCTTTTCTTTTAACACAGTAAGTGAACTGATTTTTAAAAAGACATAAGTCAAATCGCGAAAAAAAATTGAGCGTAAACAAACTTTTCAAAACAAAAAAAAACGAAAAAAATCATCGCGACCTATAGAACAGTCTGAACTGCATTCATTGACTTTTTAAAAAAGCAGACTTGTAGAAAAACCTACGCTACGCTTGAGTAAAAAAAAAAACAGTCTCTAGTTTCAGTAGCTCATCTTCTTGTGCAACGATTTTTGTGAAGGAAAACTGCATCGTTGTTTGATATCAGCGCTACAGACACTGACGCCTCGTCTTACTGAAACAAGAGCCCCAAGAGTGATCTTCTTCCAGCTGAGCTCTACCAAAAGCGGAAATATGGAAAAACCTTCAAATATCGATATATTTCATTCACTCCATGTGACGCCAGTTGTTGGAGTACCAGCCCCGCAATCTAACTTATTTTGAAAAGAGTAGCTGAAGGTTTAAGTGCCAAATAGGACCAGCCGAACAGTCATGTGAGGTGCTGGTTCGCTCTCCTGCTTTATTCGCCGTTCTACGGGCTTCGAATATATGCATTCGCGGCAAATGGTCCAAATGGTGGTACGTAGGCATTGAAGATGGCTCTAAAAAAACTTGGCACTTCGAATTGCGAATGGACTCAAAAATCACATCACTGCGACAGTTTGAACAATTCACGAAAAACATCAGGTCAATTCTGGGATCGTTGTTATTATTCATGATTACTCTGCATATTGTCGCAACACCGTATTGTCAGCACAAGCAGCTTGTTACTTCGAGTTATGGAGCCGAATGATGCAGAGAAAACCCAAAGAAAAGAATGATCGAAAAGAAAAGTCGTTACGAATCGAAAAGCAATCAAAACATAGCCAACTGACGGTTGGAAAAAGTAATGAACGCAAGAAAACAGAAAAAATTGACTTCCGAATTTTTAAGAAAAAAATATATGTCCTGAAAGCTCTGTGAATTTCAAAAACAATTTATAATAAAGGCTTTTTGATAAAATTAACCCAATTTGAGAAAACTCGATCAATAGGTAAAACATTATTTCGCTGGAAACTGATAATTAAATTCCATTGTCGAAATTAGAAGTCGATCACATTGTTCGTGACCTTAACATTTAGCTGTTCGATAGTGGAGTTTGCCTTCCTTTTAATAAAACAAAGGAAATAAACTGAACTTTAAAAGAAATCAAAAGCCAATCCACGAAAATCAAAATCGAGCGTGAACAAATTTTAAGACTTTTTTATTGAAAAAAAAAATCAAATAAAAACCAGCAACATTAGTCTTAAGCAGACAGGGAACAAAACTGACAAAATCTATAAGATGAACTTGTTTTACTCTTCTTAACTTTCTACAGTAAACAGAGATAAAATATCTAATTCACGGTTATGCCCAGTTAAGCATGCGGCCGTTTTGTTGATATTGCTCAATAAACTTTTTAATACACTAAGATAGGCAACAAATATCACTTTAGTCGTTGAGGCCATCTTTTGAATTACAGTTGTTCGACAAGCATCTTGAGTAGAAATAGAGAATAGAGATACATTTGGAGATGACCAAACTTCAGTCATTCTGTGGACAAAGTTGTTTACGGGAAAAAAAGCCGTACCCGATTGTAATACCCTTGCTTATCGCAAGGGTAAAAAAACATGAAAGGACATAAAAATTCATGAAACAAAATTACCTGTACCTTTGGAAACTTTGAAGACCTTTCAAACCGCTGAAAATAAACCGATCCTTTCTGCAAGACCTAAGCCGACAAAGACAGCAGACACGAAAGTCTTAAAATTTTCAGTTTTCGCAAAAAAAAACAGGTCCCGACTGAAAACGAACTTCTTCGATTTGTTGTCTCAAGCATGTGTGTTACCTCTACTCCAAATTCACAGAATACTCCGTAAATATACAAAGAACACAAACTCCATAAGTTTTTAATAAAAACAGCCTGAAAAAAAATCAAATAGCAAAAATAGGCAAAACTTCTTGGAACTGCTTGCCCAAAACTAGAATACAATGAATTGTTTTTAAATTTGAGTAAAAATTTCCAATTTTTAAGCAAATTGGGTGCTGCGGCAATTAAGCCGATAAAAAAAGCAGACAAACATAACCAGACACACGCGCGGAAAAATTTTTTGCTCATAAAAAACTCCTGGTCGGATTCGAACCATTGACGTTTGTCTATGAAGGCAAGAGCGTTAACTCTTTGCCATAAGCACGAATTAACTTAAGGTAAAATGATTCAAGTGATTCTGTTGCTCTAGGTGTTACCCCGAAAAAAGCCTATATTCTGGTTTGATTGATAACGCTTGCTTAACGCAACCGTACAGAAAATTAAGATGCCCTTACCGCTCTTTAAACTTCTAGAACAATACATGATAATTAATTTGAGAAAACTGGATCAATACCAAATAATTTCATTTCACTGAGAAACCTGAAAAGTTAATTCCACGTTCGAAACCAAAAGTCAATCACGTTTTTCGTGACCTTCAAATTTTGCCGTTCGATAGTGGAGTTCCTTTTCTTTTAACACAGGAAGTGAACTGATTTTTAAAAAGACATAAGTCAAATCGCGAAAAAAAAAATTGAGCGTAAACAAACTTTTCAAAACAAAAAAAAAAATGAAAAATCATCGCGACCTATATAACAGTCTGAACTGCATTCATTGACTTTTTAAAAAAGCAGACTTGTAGAAAAACCTACGCTACGCTTGAGTAAAAAAAAAACAGTCTCTAGTTTCAGTAGCTCATCTTCTTGTGCAACGATTTTTGTGAAGGAAAACTGCATCGTTGTTTGATATCAGCGCTACAGACACTGACGCCTCGTCTTACTGAAACAAGAGCCCCAAGAGTGATCTTCTTCCAGCTGAGCTCTACCAAAAGCGGAAATATGGAAAAACCTTCAAATATCGATATATTTCATTCACTCCATGTGACGCCAGTTGTTGGAGTACCAGCCCCGCAATCTAACTTATTTTGAAAAGAGTAGCTGAAGGTTTAAGTGCCAAATAGGACCAGCCGAACAGTCATGTGAGGTGCTGGTTCGCTCTCCTGCTTTATTCGCCGTTCTACGGGCTTCGAATATATGCATTCGCGGCAAATGGTCCAAATGGTGGTACGTAGGCATTGAAGATGGCTCTAAAAAAACTTGGCACTTCGAATTGCGAATGGACTCAAAAATCACATCACTGCGACAGTTTGAACAATTCACGAAAAACATCAGGTCAATTCTGGGATCATTGTTATTATTCATGATTACTCTGCATATTGTCGCAACACCGTATTGTCAGCACAAGCAGCTTGTTACTTCGAGTTATGGAGCCGAATGATGCAGAGAAAACCCAAAGAAAAGAATGATCGAAAAGAAAAGTCGTTACGAATCGAAAAGCAATCAAAACATAGCCAACTGACGGTTGGAAAAAGTAATGAACGCAAGAAAACAGAAAAAATTGACTTCCGAATTTTAAAGAAAAAAATATATGTCCTGAAAGCTCTGTGAATTTCAAAAACAATTTATAATAAAGGCTTTTTTGATAAAATTAACCCAATTTGAGAAAACTCGATCAATAGGTAAAACATTATTTCGCTGGAAACTGATAATTAAATTCCATTGTCGAAATTAGAAGTCGATCACATTGTTCGTGACCTTAACATTTAGCTGTTCGATAGTGGAGTTTGCCTTCCTTTTAATAAAACAAAGGAAATAAACTGAACTTTAAAAGAAATCAAAAGCCAATCCACGAAAATCAAAATCGAGCGTGAACAATTTTTAAGACTTTTTTATTGAAAAAAAAAATCAAATAAAAACCAGCAACATTAGTCTTAAGCAGACAGGGAACAAAACTGACAAAATCTATAAGATGAACTTGTTTTACTCTTCTTAACTTTCTACAGTAAACAGAGATAAAATATCTAATTCACGGTTATGCCCAGTTAAGCATGCGGCCGTTTTGTTGATATTGCTCAATAAACTTTTTAATACACTAAGATAGGCTCAATCTAAAAATAAAAGGCATTTCCTCGTAAACAGTATATTTAGCTCCCATCAAATAATATCAGGACTAAAAATTAAACTCATTAATCAACCAACATTACTGTTGAATTCAAACAATTCAATCATAAAGGGGTATCGATTCAGGCCAGGAGTGTCATTTGGGTGATTCTTTCGATTATTGCATTGGAGCATCGTCTCCTCCTTCAGTTCCTTCTTGTCCGGTAGCAGGAGCAGCATCAGCAGCCCCTTGATCAGCATCGTCCTGAATTGAACTTTAGAATACGTACAATTTTTCCCAATGTAAAATAAGAAAATCAATAGAAACAAGCTCGATATTAACAAGGATAGCCAGTTGCTGCGCAAATCGCACAGAATGTTCAGCGCATAATCTTTAAAAAATGCATGTTTTTCAAATTAGTGTTGTTTTTCAAATAAGTGCATTGGGTGTGATGAAAGGATCTGAAGACTATCTAAATCTTAGGCATATTCGACAGCCACAGTAAATTAAGCAAATCGGGCAACGGTTTTTGTCGAAACAGGACTAACAAGTTTAAAAATCAAAAAACTGATTTTTTTGCAATTGTTTTGAATTTTTTTATTGCTAAAATCGCGCTAAAAACTTCACAAAAAATAGTATCATTGCATACCTTTTTATAGCACAGAGGCGAAGCTGCGCTTCGCGAGCACTAGCGACAACACGCCAAAAAAGCTGCTCGATAAAGTGCATAAAGAATTAGAAGAAATAAGCCTCGAATTAGTAAATTTCAAAACTCAAAAATTTCAATCGCGTATCTCAAAAATTTCAAACGCTTTTCTCAAAAATTTCAAACGCGTTACAAACTTCAAAACTTTTTTTAGTTTGTTCGAATCAGGATTGAAAGTTCTTTAATATGATAAATCACTCCACACATTTCTATGAGTATTTGTGGTAAATGATTTTGGTTGAAAAAAAAAATCAGACTGCTCTCACATTATTCGCTTAAAATCAGACTCGAACTTTTTTTGCTGTTCGATAGTGGAGTTTCCCTTCCTTTTAACAAAACAAAGGAAATGAACTGAACTTAAAAGAAAATCAAAAGCCAACCCACAAAAAATTTAAATTGAGCGTGAACAAGTTTTAATTCCTAACTCAACAGTCCTGACTCAAAGTTAGACTGAAAATCAAAATTAGAAAAAAAAATAAACATTTCAAAAAATAAATAAAATGGAAAAAATAATAATAAATATTTCAAAAATATATTTCATAAAATCAAAAAGTTCATGTATTTTAAAATTTTTAATGAAATACACCAATGCTTTTGATCAATCAATTCGATATTATCTCTATAGCGTACCTGGATATTTCTTGAAGGCTTCTTTGTCTCCACGTTCTGTAGATAGTTTTCGATTTCTACTTCTGTCAATTTCCTGAAGCTCAAATCTTTTCCCAGGAAGCCCAGTTCTACGTTTTCTTTCGTCATTTCTTGGTCGTTTGCAAGCGAATTGGACAAGGCGTGCATAGCATGAGTGATTAATTCTTCTAGACTGCCTTAAAAAAACAACTCACTTTAATTCAAATTTGTTAACGACCATTAACGGGTCATTGCTAGACCTGATTTGTTTCAGCCTTTGATGACTTCTGATGCATACATTATCTTTTAAGTTTTGAATCTGAATAAGTAAACCAAATATACGCAATTTATGAAATTCAAACCTAGAAGCTACAATGACAAATGATTCTAAAATACCAGTCATGATGACATAAAAGTGGCTTTCAATTAATTATTTTCAACTGATAAATAAGTTTCACACTGTTTATCTTAAGGTTCAGAGAATAGTTTAAAACTATCTCACGACATACGAGCAATAATTTATGCTGCACAAATACCTTAAGGCATTGAGAACCAAAGGAGCTTGGGCAGCAAACATTCAAATTGTCTTTATTTACCGCAAAAATGAACATAATTTATGAGCAAAATGATTGAATCTTACATGTTTTAAAAACGTCGAGATTTCTTTCCAGATATGTCCTTGCAGATTGAGACCGTGACCCTATCGCAGTAGCTTCACATTCGTAGAAGTTAGCGGATGGACAAGTTTGAAAAACGTGAGATCCTAAGTCCTGTAACAGATTAATGAAGCGCTGAAACTTTTACCAATCATCTACGCTGATTATTTAATAACATTATTATTTAACTTGCACAAATAACATGCAACTTTTTGTTCCAATGCCGCTCAAAAAATGAAGGGAACTATGGCGGAAGTTGGATCTATTCAATCCCATTTTTTCGGCGCGAAAGCTCGTTAGGGATTAAGTGTTACATCAAAGAGCCCTACTAATTGTGATTCAGGTTCTTAAAAGCTCAAAAATGTCTACCCAAAAACTTAATTGCATTTAGACTCGTATTACGCCGGGGAGTGAGTGAATGACGACTTATAAATCCACTCCGAACCAATATATTTTCTTTAAAGAACTAAGGAAGCAGAGCTTTTCATAAAGCATAAGTTCCACCTCCCTGTCCTTCCATTTTTGATTTCTCACATGTTTTTTTTCTATTTTTCAATTTCTATTTTTTTCTATTTTGGTGGGAACAATCTGTATTTCTTGCACACTAAACGGCTATTCTTGTGTTAAGTAAGGGAGGGTTAAGCGCATTGAAGGTAGTTGGACATTGATTTATGAAAATGTCTAACATCATATCCAATAACAAGCAGTCCAACTCCATATGGTCGTCGTCCGTAAGTCTGGGTATATCTTTGTGACTTGTTGGCTACCGTCCTAGTAAGCCTTTCAATAGAAAGAGCTGAATCAAAGCTCCATTTACTGTCCAGGCACTCAGTTCTCATGAACTTAGCCAATTGTTGTCCATCGGCCAGCAAACCAGACATGGAACAGGCAACATGATCGTCGATTTCCATGATTTTGTGCTGACTTTTCACCAGCTTACTGCTGGAACGCTTCATTGAAGCGACAACAGCATATTCAGTATTCTTTAACGCCAAAGTGACAGATCCTAGTTTCACTGCTTCCATGGCATATTCGATTTGATGGATTCGGCCCTATAATTATTTTAAGCCCTACTTATCACGTTACTCGAATCTCTGACAAGTAAAAGACATCGACAAGATGCAAACCTGTGGGCTCCATACTGTAATATCATTGTCATACTGGTTTCTGAACTAAAATATCAAATGCAACTCTTTCAATCTTCGTATTGACAAAAGCATACAAATTATATAGAAAATTCAGGAAAAAAAAACAAACCATATTATTGGATCAACAAATCAGTGTATCTGAAGAACAAATAACCATACCTCAAGTAAGTTGATTTTAACTTTAAGACAAAAAATGTTGAATCACAAATACGGTGTATTCACTTTTTTTCCTCGAAAGTTTATCGGTTCAAAAATGATCAAATCATGGTAACCAAAGTTACTACACTGGTCCTTCATCATTTCTCCCAGTCAAAAACCTTTGCAACATCATACAGTAGCGAAAACGAAAAGTAAAGGAAGAATAACGTGAAGGAAAGTAAAGAGAGCCAGATGGTTGGGAGTCACGTCACGGAGATTGAGACAACTGCTTGCAAAAACTGGTTAACATTCATTTTACATAAATCAACTTATATAAAAAGTTTTATGTCGATCTAAAAAATCAATTTTCAGAAAACAAGGTTTGTACGCAAGAAAAAGGAGCTTCGGCGTGCTGAAGCAAATTTAGAGAAAGTAATAACCATAAACTGCAACCTGTTTGTCAGTAATTATGGAAACTCTTTCAAGCTCAGCATTTCTTTCCTTGAGCAGTTCATCGCGACAAGATTCGCCAATTGGGGAGCCTAATAAGATATTGATTTGATTTTTCGGACGTATTTTATGAAATTGACCAATGATTGAAGTGTGCAAAGTACTTGTGGTCAAAGCACTTGTTAAAATTGACTAATGATTGAATTGTACTGCGTACTGGTGGGCATAAGCGTTTTGGCGTTCCTGGGTGGGCCTGTTAAAGGCATGAGACCATCATAATCAGCAAACGTTTCAGCGACGAACCCTCCGCTCCGGGCGTATGCGTTAGAGGCCTTAGTCATCTTTGTTGTTCTAAGGGGAAGGTGCGTACCCTCCGCCTAGTACTATTTAGTTTTTTAACCTAGTTAACACCAAAAATTCCGGGGGCCGGAGGGTTAGGTGAGAAGTCATGAGCCCGCTTGTCCAAAGGTTGTGACATTCGACCAGAATGTGAAAAATGCAATCTCTGCAGAATTCGGAATTTTAGCAGTAAGCCTTCCGGATTGGTGGTTTTTAAGAACTAAGAGCGTTATTGGAACGTTTGGCCAGACGGTGAGGGCTAGAATATTCTGGTATTTTAAAATTTCAAAAATTCGAATGATGACGTCACATTTCTGAGAAATGCTGAAACGGCCATTTTAACAAAGAACGAGAGAGAAAACACAACAACTTTATCTGCGATAGCGAATAACAACGATAATCGTGATTGAAAAACAGCAGCAGATTGCAGGAATAGCAGAGAACGTTCCGAGTTGCAACTATTGTGCTGCTACAATAGTTGCAAGGCCGTTGCGAACAACGGTGAAGGGTAAGAGACAGCCTTCCGGATTAGGAGGAAATCAAGATTAACGAGCTTGATTCAGTGGATTCGTCAATCCGGAAGGGTAAAGGAACTGGAACTTTTATCCTGTTGCATAAACTTTTAGCTTCGTGTCATGTCCTGACTTGAATTTAATTAATATCTAGATTCATTTTGATAAGGATGAGAAGCTAGGAGTTGGGGGAAAGGGTTGATCCATCTTCGATGGAGATGATGATTTTTATCTACTGAACAAAAACAATAGTAATATAATAAGTAGTAGCCCTGTTTTTAGGAGTGACCTCGTGGTCTGGGGATACTGAGACCCAGCCATGAGCTCACTATTTGCATGTAATTAAGTTAATTTGAGCGTTCTGGTCGAAGCCGGAGAGCAGTAACGTTTTTGTCGACCCGATGTTAGAAAGACCACCGAAAAGTACTGGCTTGGTAGAGACGGTGAAAAGCATGCAAAGATCTGTTTAGACGCTAGCCAGTCGTCTTAAGACTTAGTTTTGTTTTCTGTCGATATGTATCTTCCGGGCGAATGTTACATACATGTTTTTATGGCGCTCCTGGGTGTTATTCTTTTTTAACATCATGACCGGCAGAACCGTTAACGAGCACTCCGCGCCGAGCGGATGCTCACATTAACGCCCTTATTAGGCCTAAACCGCCGGGGCGGAGGGGTGGTTCGGAGCGCGGAAGCCCTCCGGATTACCGTGAATAGCTTTTTAACTTAGTTAAGACCGAAAATTCACGAACCAGGAAGGGTGAGGGCATCGGCCATTCCCTCATCCCCTGAGTATTTTGTGACCAAAAACACTTAAAGTTATAAGTAAAACCAAACAAAAAGTAGTATAGTACCCAAGAAAAACAAAAAACATAAAAAATTGCCGAAAAAACCAAAAACAGTAAAAAAAAGTAAAAAATCAGTAGAAATCATTCCCCCAGACAAGATGTGATCCGACCCCCCCCCGTTTGTTGTTGATAGATATATTGTTGTTACAGGCATTTATATCAGTCAGGATCGTTACGATCAGTTTTGTAGCCCGTTTGTGAGGCTTGTACTGTAGGGTTATTTGAGCATTTAAGCACGTTAATGATAAATTGCGCTCAATCCGGAAGGGTCAGCTGATTTGCGCTCAATTCGGAAGGGTCTTGGGTGAAGACCGATCCGGCAAGCAGTACAAGGAGCAACAAGAAGGGGCTCAACGACAACAACAATCGACTGTTGGGTATCGTTAACAAGTTTTGTATCCCTTTTGGTACAAAAAGTAAGATAGTAATCTGTGGGGGGCTCGACAGTGCTGCACTGTAGTGACCCTTCACCGAACTGCGAATATCCGAGTTAAGCACCTTAATTCGGATATTAAGGAAACCCGGAGGGGTATAGTATTACTAATATTATTATTTATATAGCCTATATTAATGGTCTTATATCGTTTTTCAGTGAAAAACAGCGAAAACAGACCGGTTTTTAGGGTCAAAATAGCGATATTTTGATCCCCCCACAAGTCGCGATTTTTGAGATATCGATTTTTTTTGAAACGGAAAAAAGCGCTAAGTTAGTGTGTTACATCGTAACTGCACTACCATAATACATACAACCAGTTAAGTTAAGTCCGAAGGTGGTTGGAACTATTTTGGTACCGAAAACTGAAATTTCGTGATTTTTGAGAAAACGGAACACTATAAATTTAGAAAAATTTTTGAAATTTTTGAGTTACGACAGTAAAATTAGTTGTTCGGACAACGTTCACTAGTGAATCTACGAGTTTTAAAACCCGCTACCCGAAGGCCTTCCGGGTTGCAGAGAAATCGGACATAACGTGTTTGATTTGGTGGATTCATCAATCCGGAGGGGTCCAGGTAGCATAGTTTTTCGCAAATTTTTTCTATAAAAGCGTTTTAGATCGGGTCTTTTGCATTGAACTAGAAGAGTATAGGCCTTCTGAGCTCGGATCAATAATTTTTAGGTCGGAAGGACCAGAATTGCGGAAAAAGTTAGGTGGAACCTATAAGTGAGAAATTTTTTGAGTTTGCAAGAAAGACGTTTTGGCTAATAACTTTTCGACAACTGGACAGATCCGGTTAATCTTGGTACCATTAGATCAGAAATTAGCTGAACTTACTAGTAGGAAAGAGAATTACGCGAAAAAGCGAGCGAGAAAATTTTTGGAGATTGTTATTAGCAAATTACACAAATCCGGAGGGGTACACCCTTCACGTTTTATAAATTTTTCTGAAAAACCCTTAGACCCCTACCAAAAGGTGATAGCGGTTGAATAAAGTAATTTTAGGCCATTCTAGACCAAAAGGGAGGGCTAAAGGCACAGCAAAAGCTTAATCGAGCCGAAGTTAGGTCAGCGATAAGACCCTTCACCGTTGGTGCGAATTGTCAAATAAGAAGCTTAACTTCAATCCGGAAGGGTCTAGGAAGGTAGCACATACCCTTCCCAGTTAATTGAAAGAGCATAATTGCATCGGAGAACGTATCAGGAGGGGTATAGGTTGAAAAAAGGAAATCTCCGAAAAGCTACTTTTTACAAAACCGGAGGGCTCCCAATCCGGAGGGGTCAAACATTTTCAAGTTAGGAGGGGTCCGAATCCGGAGGGGTCCGAATCCGGAGGGGTCTTATAGTTGCTAATTCGGAGGGGTCCAAATCCGGAGGGGTCTTCTATTAACCAACTCAGAGGGGTCCAAATCCGGAGGGGTCTAGATTCTATCAATCCGGAAGGGTCCTATTTGTGCCAATCCGGAGGGGTATTATTTTATTAAGGACTTAGGTAGACGAAAGAAAAACTAAAAAGTGAGAGGTATTAGGTTATTAGCACACAGGCTAGGTATCAGTGACTGCACTGGTAACTTGCCTTTCAATAAGAACCAGACTAATACAAAACAGGTCCGAACTCGGATATTCGTGACACTAAGTCTAAATTAAAAAGAGCGTGATTCATTGGTGTGGATTGAAACATAATACGTTTTTGGGGAAAGTGACTGCCCTGAGGATTTTAGTAGGTCTAGCTCGGGCAGTCTGAAGGCAGATAGGTAACACAGTACTCGGTGGGTGCAATAGAGGCCCACTTGAGAAAATTACTGCCTTCAAAGTTTTGTCTGTTTGGTGCGGCACCGAGCAGGGAAAGCTTTTTCTTTAAAAGACAGGTTCGACTATTGTACTGCGACCAACTAAGAGTACAAGACACATACGTTTTTCATATATACATTCATATTGTGTCAAAATAAATTATTTGTTTTTGATTTTAAATCAACGTAAACTGTGCTTGATTGGGTAGTGAGTACACTATCTTTTAAATTGACTGATAACATCATATTGTGCTAATTTCAAAATCTTTGGACCAATAATCGGTTAGTGTGAATAAATTTTATACAAACTGTACTCTGACAACATACAGGGATTCGTGGTCACTATTTAATAGAATCTGGTGAAATTTATTGTGTTGTGTCATTATTATTGTTAAAACTATAAGGTCTCTAGCAATTGAGTCAAGAGTAGGCATTGGAAAGTGACAAATAGAGAATGAGTCTAGACAAGTCAAGGATACCAAAACGAGGTAATAGCTCTAGGAAATTCATACCTGAAAAGCAAAGAAAAACGATGACCGATCCTTTCGTGGATTGGATCAAGCGATCCCGGTCTGACAAAAGGGGGACGGTTTCAGGCAGAATGGTTGAAACGAGAAGTCAGAAG